CGTCTCGCTTCCACTTTACGTGGTAGTCTATTCGTTCATCTCCCTCACTCGCTCTTGCTGTCTCTTTTTCTTTCACTTTACAGCGCACGCTTGTCTTCCTCTCTCTCTCTCTCACTCCACAGCTCACACACCGCGCTCGCCCGGCATCGACTGCTTGACTCTGTCTCGTGTATTTCCCTCTTTTTCCCTGCTGCAGAACGTGCACCTCCTCGTTCTCTCCCCTTCTCTTACTTCAACTACGCTCGTACTAGCTACTACTACTACTTGTACAATTTTGTCACGCTATCTCTCTTCCGCCTGCTCTCTATGTTGGGCGATCTCACGGCTGCCCTCCTTGTCCAATACCCATTTTTCTCACTTACTCTTTCTGTTTATTCATTCCTTTCTCTCGCTCTTTAACGATTTTCTTTCTCTCTCTCTCTCTCCTTACCTACTCGCTCCAGTTCTCGTCTGACTCCAACCATCTATATTACATCGCATTTTCTTCGTCGTTGCCACGATTCGTCCGTCGTCCCTGCACTGGATTAGCTGTCACACAACGTATCGTCGTTTTATCTGTCTCGCTCTACCTCGAGATCCGTTCGCTTCCTCTCGCCATGGACTGTCCTTGTCCGTTTCGTGACGCGACGCCGTAACTGCCGCGCCTCTGTTCTTTCTCTTTCTCTTCCGTTGGCGGCCGCGCGCGCGGGCTATCCGATAATTTTAGACTCTCGGCGCAGTGGCTCGGTACTGCCACTGCTCAGCCTGCGCCGCGCACTCGAATATCGACATACGGACCGACGGCGGCGGCGGCGGTCACGAGACCCGTGAGCCACACGCGGTCACGAGATCGGTGAGAAGGAGAGTGACAAAGGTGGAGAAATAGGAAGAGAAAAGCGCGTACGATGCTTCCCCTTTCTTGCTCACTTGCTTCCTTCCTTCCTTCCTTCCTTCCCGTTGCCTGTGGGTGTCCAGATCCTACCCTTAGTCTCTTTCCTGCGTGGAATGCCCCCTACGGGCTCGCGGCGAAACAGGGAGCAAAGCTCGACCTCTGTCTTCACCCGCCTACATCTGACTCGATTCTTGCATATGTCTTTCCTCTCTTTCTCTTCCTTTCTCTCCCCTTCTGGCGATCTTTGCTTATCTGTTCGGCACAGGTCTTCTCAGTCGCTGGAAAAATATACTCATAGACGAGATCAATCCCAACAATTTTATGCGCGATGTAATGCATACACACTGGCTGTTCCAGATTTGCATCGCATCCATGCTCGGCCCTCCTCGACTCACCTTGCGGAAACGCACGATGCGCTCGCCCCTTGAGGCCAGCTGTCTGTCGAGAGCAGTAGTCGCGGCTGTCCAGTGTCAGACGCTTCCTTGGCACGTTGAACACGTCGTAGTTATTATAGTTCGCTGCAATCACAGCTTTGAAGAAATGATTTTGGAAGCGTCGTGTTTCCTGAAATTTTACCATTTTTCATGTTATATATAAATTCAAGTTATTATATATAAATATTGATATTTTTATACACATTTATATTTTAATATAAACTTTTATCATCTAAAACTAAGATAATAATCACTAGTTATTATCACTATCCTCCTCTTATCATTCGCGTGAATTACTCATCCTTTGATAACATATTCAACTATCATGCAAAATGTTGCAATATTTAATCTTGATTATCTCGTAAAAAATTTTTTCTGAGAACTAAAAATGTTCAATTATAAATATATTATAAATCTTGTAGCTAATATCTATCATAGATACAATATTTGCAAATGATATTTCCTTCCTAATATAAATATATTTTATATCTAAAAAGTTTTAGATAAAATAAATTTTATTAAAATAAAAGCAACGAATAGAACGATATCAAAATCGATAAAACAAAGCTTCACTATGGATGGGTCGCAGCCATCCCGCGTTACGATAGCAGAATAATGTAATGCGATCATACTCAATGATAATATGACGGATTCGTGCAAGCCTCCGCGTACGATCCATCTGCTTTCATTCGGGCCAACGAGTATCTTTCAGAGCTGACCATCGATCGCAGTTTTATCCTCGCGAAAAGCATAGAAATACAAACTAAATCATATTTAGGAAGAAACTGGCACTACATGATAGAAATTAACATCTCAGCATCCGTGATGCACTTAAGAGTAGAGAGATGAGTTATAGCTTGATCCTAAACCGGTCAACCGGAAAGACTGTAACCCAAGTTGTGACGCGCGGGTCAATAATACCCCCGGGCTATTTTTAATAACATGACCATGCACAGAGAGTCCTTGCGCGCGCGCATATATAACACATATATACACACACACTCGTGCGGAAAGCATGTGTACCCTATGTCCTGGAATGTCCGCGGGACATCCCGCAGGATCGCGGAAGTACCAAGTAAAAGTTCACCCAGTTAAGGACATGCTTCCCACACAAGTCAAACAGGTCACCGTCCAGAAAATTATCCGGTCAATACATACCTCGTATCTGACAATTAATAATTGATTAATTAACATGACTCGTTAACTTTTAATTAAACGTAGTCATCGTGTAATTAAATACATTGGAAATTTCAGTAGAAAATTATTAGGCATGAAATACATTTTACTTATTTTCAAATAAAAATTCGTGACATTTAAATATTCCGCTAACGCGATAAAGATTTTCATTATATCTCACGACTTTTAACTCTCAAACAATATTATTATAATTTATATTGTCTCGCTATTGTAGTCAAAGGCATAATTATATTCTTCCACTAACCGCTGCATTGTAAAACGTACCACCTCAATTAGTTTTAATTAACATACAATAACATTAATTACGCAGTAATCAACTGAATTTAGTAATTTAGAAATTGTTGCAAATTTTTTTTTTGCGAAGGAGAGATGGCGGCTGTCATGCAAAAGCTACATACGACCTTGTGGAATGAAGGGATTTTCGGGATGGATTTATAACGACGCGAAATGATCCAGTCATCCCCTCCTACGTTCATCGAGCCTTCGCTCGCGACCCATGAATTCCCGGATTACGGCGAATGATCGATCGAACGTTATGAACTATTGTATAATTCGCTTGAGAGATATTCGCATGCGACACAATACATGCCTCAGTCATCTGCATTCTTCAAGTCTCTGTTATTCATACGCGGTACAGCTTGTTAAATTACAGGTTCGCATTTGTGTCTCACCTTGTTTGCGCGATAATCACATAAATTTCCATGCTATAACACTACGTACAGCATACGCACTTTCGCCGAAAATTTTCGCACGTAATTTTGCTCGAATATTCTGTTAGAGTAATCTCTGATTGACATGCATATTAAATTTAGCAAAAACACTTGAATCCATTAAAATTAAAACCACTTTTACCAAAATAATAAATAAAAAATACTGAAAATATACCTTTTAAAACAGTCCTCTTGTTGAAAAGTTAATGACGCAAAACTCTGCATGTTTTTATGATTCCAGACATTAAAACGTCGAAAATTGTTACCAATATTAATTAACCTAGAAAAGTGAATGATGATTATACAATCTACATTCACATAACATTAACATATAAAAAATATACGAACAAGAAAGACTTATTACCCCATTATGCTAAAACGTCACTAACGTATCATAAAAACGTTATATTTTTTATATGTATATTTTTTAAACATTTGTTTATGTTTAAACATTTAAACATTAAACTATTTATACGAAATCACTTGTTGATTTATGCAGTTTTTCTAATATGAGAATTGACAGAGCCCTCTAACGAGAGTCGGCAAAATCGTACACATAATCATAAAAATTGTTCTTAATTAGATAAGGTAGGTATTGTGCATGATTATTACCGTAAGGTGTTATAGCAGTCACTGTAGAATGCAATACAGCCGCCAGCTACATTATCGATCATTTTTACTGGTAATAAAATAAAATATTTAGTTGTCTCAGTTATAAGTAAATTTTGAAACTAAATTAAAAACTGAATTAGAAACTAAATTAACATAAATTAAAAACTGTAAATTAACAGAACTTGAAAAAAAATCGAATACTATATTTAATTATTTTCAATAATTAATAAAAATTGTATAATTAAATAAATAATTTTTTAAATTTTGCAACTCTGTCTTAAAGCTCCGTGTACGATTTTTAGTTTTCAGATTATTCACTGTGACATATTTGCGCACATACTTTATCAATTTTTCCAGTTAAAATTAATAACTATCATTTAGCTTTATTTATGTTTGATAAGAGAATTCAACTTAATCTAATTTAATAAACAAAATGTTGATATCTCAGATAGCAACCAAAGAAAACCTGAGTGTTTTTACATCTGAGAATACAACTTTAACTGACTAGTTGAACAATATTTGAATTAAAGAATTATATTAGTATAATATAAATTAAATGTAAATTATATATTTCAAATAATAAAATATTTTTTTGTTTATTTTAGTCAGGTTTTTGTTTATTTCATTGCAAAAAAAATGATCAATAATATACTTAGTTAATATTTTAATCAACTGACAAATAATAAATCTTAGTATACTACGGACTGCACAAAATTTTTTTTTTAATGGAATATAATATAATGATTAATAAATATTATATTCATCAGATAATTTCTAACATATCTGAATATATTATGTTAAGGTTATTATTCGACAAATATTTATTGTACGTTTAAATCTATGTACGATTATTGCTATACTATGTAGAATTTATCTGTTTATTTCGACCAATATTTGATTTATTACGATACATAATATGTATAATTTTTACATTGTTTTTTGAATAGAATTATATTTAAAACTAACATATGAATATTATTTTATGAAAATATAAAGGTTACAACTAGGTGCATTAACTCACCTTGTACTTGTTGCTGTCCAATAGACGTAACAATTTTCTCTTTCGATTAGCGTAATTGTTCATATTAGCTCATACAAGCTCTCACACATCATGAATTACTTACGAAAATACACTGAATCCAAGGCGTGTACTAACGTATCTCGTAATCGATCGTATCATGCCTGTGTAGAGGATAGCCAATACCTGTGTAGATAAGCAGAACAAAGAAAATAGTTGTTATTCCTGAAAACAATCCCAAGTCCACGCGGCACATCGTTCTGCACGATATAATTGACAATCGCGTTCAGCTGTGATTGCAGTAATTGTAACGACGCGGATTTGTGCACAATTAAAAGTCACATTGCTTTAATCAAGTAAGTATACATTGCATTTACACAATATTGTGCGTAAAAATGCAACTTTGCAGCTTAGTGGAAACGATATAGAAATTCTGTATACGATACATGACATATAATTGATACATGATAAATAATTACATTCATTTTGCTCCTTTACGATATTGCATTCAACTTTGTTTCTTATTATTTAGTTAAATATAATTTTTAGTTAAATATAATTTTTTGCATATTTTGTATTAATATATCGTCTGTCTATAATATATTAACTTATAATACACTGTCACGTAAGTATGTGTAAATTGATAGAAAATGACAGAAATGGTGCAAACAATCATAAAACCGCTTATTGTAACACTTAAATGTATATGTAGCACTTTCTTTATATATGCAAAATTATCAAGTTAAACAATTAATTAGAGATAACAGAGAGTAATAAAGTTTTGTAACAAATGTGTCAATTTTATAACTTTGTAAATTAACTTGTAAATATTAACTTAAGGATGTCAAATTAACTAGAAATAAATATAACATTGATCCCACTGCAAGTTACATTTACAAAATTATCAACATTAACTGCAAAGACATTTAGAATGATATAAATAAATTATAAGAATAATTTCTACGATATATTCAATAATGATAATAATATTGAAATATTATTATTAATTTCTACAATATTCAATAATGGATGCATATCATTTACTTACCCAATTATTTAATATTCTTTTAGAAGACTATATGCAATTATCACGATAACATCGTAATGGTGTGGCAATGTTGAATCATTTCAGTTTCGATCTTTCTTTTAATCATTAATAAACTGAAAAAAATTGTGAAATTGTAAACAAGATTTTTAACTATCACTTTCTGAACATTTTAATGTCTGTTTAAATTATTGATTGTACGTACATTTTTTAGGATGTATAATATAACATCGAAATTGTGTGACCTGTACAAGGCATGTAGTCGCAAAAAAATGGTGGAGTTCTCTCAGGACTCGAAATTAGCCAAGATTTTGTCAACTCTCGATCTCACAGCTTTGGGAATCGGCTCTACTCTAGGAGTAGGTGTATATGTCCTGGCAGGAAGCGTTGCAAAACTCATCGCCGGTCCTGCCGTAATCATTTCGTTCGCTATCGCTGCGATAGCATCAATGTTAGCAGGTATGTACTTATCGCATCGATACATGATAAAGAAACCTTTCAACGAACACATTATCAATGTTTATCTCTACATGTAAAGTGTCCAATAATTTTGAATATTTCTTTATTCCTTTGATAAAGAATGTGTCGCAGAAAAATTATATGACATTAACTAAGATCTTGAATAATGCTTATCTTTTAAGTTAACATGCTCGTCTCTACTCAAGCAAGTCTTTATCTCGGCATCGGAAAAGCAAGCTTTGCACTGAAAACACTGTTTTACGATAGCTAAGATATAGATTTGTTAGATGAAAGATTTATTACCATGTTTAATTCAAGAGTTCTTGAAAATAAGATAAACTGATATTTATATTGACGTATTAATCGATATTATATTGACGTATTAATCGATAATCTTATGATAACGTTCACGTTTGTACTTAACAATAATAACACTAATAAAAAAAGTAGACCATTGCAACATATAAATACCATTGATAATACTTAATCATAATGTTAATAATGCTTATTATATTTTTTAATTTGACACAAATATTAAAAATATTAAAAAATTAAATTTATTAGTTTCCAAATAAACACCTGATATGTTTAAATTTTTCTAATGATTTTTCAGGTCTCTGTTACGCTGAATTCGGTGCACGAGTGCCGCGTGCGGGATCCGTGTACGTTTATAGTTACGTTACAATAGGTGAATTCGTGGCATTTCTCGTCGGCTGGACCATGATTCTGGTATATGTGCTTGGCGCGGCCAGCGTGGTACGTGGTCTGAGTACATATGTCGACGCGCTTTGCAACAATGCCATGAGAAAAGCCTTCGAATCAGCAGCACCTATAGATGTCAGACACCTGTCCCCGTATCCAGACTTCTTTGCATTCGGTGTCACCTTGGTATTCTCAGGTGATAAGAGAATTTTATCGATATAAATCGTTGATTCAATCAATTTAATCCTCATCGCCCGCTTCTCTTATCAGCAAAATAGCTTTGAAATTGAGTAAAATGCGTATCTCTCATAACACATAAACAGACACAAACTTTACTACTAATTTATTAGTTTATCATGCAATTGCAATAATGAAAGCAACTCAAAGAATTTGTAATTTCTTTCTCAGTCGCACTTGCTTTCGGAGCCAAGGAATCCTCGCTGGCAAACAATTTATTCACTTTGGTAAACCTATTTGTCGTACTCTTTGTTATAATCGGCGGCGCCTTTAAAGGTAAGTGCTTCTCTCTTCTGTATATTTCTTTAAAGATTAAAAAGCCACAATAACTAATCTTCTAATTGTTATTATCTGAGTAGAGTATTTTATGCCTCACAATATTTTTCAATATTATAATTTGCAATTTAGTAAGATTTGTGCTACATTCGTATTATGAGTTATTGCAGTAATAATAAAAGTAGTATAATTAACACTGACATGCTGTAAACATAAGCACAGATAGTTGAAAAGTTATTACAAGCCGATAAGCTAAGACACAAAGACACAATATAAAATTCAGAAATCAATAGCTGATATTAATAATTGGAAATTGGAGCCTTCGTGCACCGAGAAGAACTGCCCGTACGGAACCGGTGGATTCATGCCTTACGGCATAAGAGGCGTCATAAGCGGCGCGGCAACATGCTTTTATGGATTCATTGGGTTCGATTGTGTGGCTATTGCGGGAGAGGAGGCTAAGGATCCAAAACGATCCATCCCTATAGCAATCGTTGCGTCGCTAATGATTGTTCTCTTCGCTTATTTTGGTGTATCAGTAATACTTACCACCGTGCTACCATATTACGAACAAGATATTGGGGCACCATTTCCGTATATGTTCGACAAGATAGGATGGAGCTGGGCTAAGTGGCTCGTATCAGTCGGGGCGATTTGCGGTCTCTGCTCTAGGTAATATTTTCTGTCACATCTCACTAAACAAAAGAAAATACATTTTTTTACAAGAAAAAAATATATGGTATATATTGCATAGTAGTTTTACATCTATGACACACATTCTACAAAATCCTTTCAATATTCTATCAAACATCATACATAGAGAGCGAATTATTTCTTTGTTTTTACATATTTTATAAATAAAGAATATAATTTTAATAAAATATAATTATAGCTTGTTGAAAAATTTTTCTTTCTGAGATTTCTTTAGACGAGGAGCAATAGTTTATTACTAATATTTTCATTAATCAATTTTTTCAGTTTGTTAGGCGCTATGTTTCCGCTGCCGCGAGTGATTTACGCCATGGCTTCAGACGGACTGATCTTTAAACAGATGGGTAAAGTAAGTTCACGATTCCAGACTCCAATCATCGGTACTCTTTTCGCTGGATTCTTTACAGGTTCGATACGCGTTATTCTCAAGTATCTTCACCTAACTAATCAATGACATAATCGGTTAATAACTATTACAGGCATCCTAGCAGCGATATTTGAACTCGGGCCACTAACGAGCTTAATGAGCATAGGCACATTATTTGCGTATCTGATTGTAGCGTGTTGCGTTCTTATTCTACGGTAAAAAATTTAGATTACATTAAAATTTGATTAATTTAATTTATAGTTTAATTCATCTTTCGACAACCAAAACTAAAAGAGATAAAGCATCAATTAAGATAAATTGGCTTAAGTTAACTAATAATATTTCATCAAATAATAAAAATAATTAACATATTTTTGATAGTTATGAAGAAAGCGAAGCGTACGAGAAGAAAGGCGATCACGATCCCAGAACCTTCACATTCATCACGAAACAACTGGTAAACGCGAATAAATTATATCATTCTACAAAACTCACGTCGCAGATCGTTACGTCTCTCGTACTTTGTTATAGTAAGATTATTTCATTGTTATTTTCATTGATATTGTCTCATTTCAAAATATCTAATACACGTTCTTAAATTTTTTTACAGTTATCCTTTGTTTCGGTGTCACGACTTTGTTATCAATGCATATGGAAGAGATCAGCGCCGGTAATGCAAACTACATAATACCACTCGTCATTTTAACTGTTGCACTCTTGAGTACACTTTGCTTCATTTATTTTCAACCAGTTTCCGGCAAGAAACTCACATTCTCGGTACGACATATTTTTTTAATTATAATATTGTGTTAGTACTATTACGTTAATTTTAATCTGCAACATTTATATGTGTGTGTGCGGTTTGAAGTCCAGCTCTTTTAATTTATATTACAAATCACGAGATTTTTATGAAAAATATAAAAAGACGAATAAAAAAAATAACAATAATATCGTGAATAGAAATATTAACATGTAATTATGTAATAATAGTGTAGATTTTATGATCTTTATATGATATATTATTATAGGTGCCGCTCGTGCCATTTTTGCCAGCGTTAAGCATCTTTATTAACATTTATCTTATGACGATGTTGGATAAACAAATATGGGAAATATTTGCCGAATCAATAACAATTGGTAAGTGTATTACCAGAAAACAAACATATGTATTTGTGTACAAATTAATTAAATATATTGAGCTGTTTGTGTGTTATCATAGGTTTGGCTCTGTATTTCTTGTACGGCGTATGGCATAGTAATAACCGAGAAAGGAAGTTATCATCGAAATCTACTGACAAAGAAAATGGCGAAAGGAAAATTTCTAATGGCAAAGCATGGGGAAATGGTGACGTTTCTCATTACACGTGATAAACTAAGAAATTGTTATAATAATGTGTATTTATTGCTCTAACATTCTTGCGTTGTATAGTTAAATATTTAATACATTTATAAGTAAAATTTTAATAACTATATACTATTATTTTATACTATATCTTTATCATTTATTTTATACTGTATACTGTATCAATACAAAACAAATTGAAAACTGAACTATGTTTACTCTTCCTCTCATTGTTAAAATTTTATAATAATACGATATATTGGCAAAAATTTGATTAATTATTATGAAAGAAACAATTGGCAAACATGATTACTCGTTCGATATGCACGATAATACCAACGATAGCAAAGAGAAATAAAAAATCGTACAGTTAACTTTGTACGTCGTCTGTGTCGCGTTTATACTACGCCTAAACTACTTGAATACACTTTCTATGTTTTATGCATAAAAAAGATATGTATTGATTAATATATTCGCGTTTTACTGCATTGACAGCACTTTTTTATGTCATATCATAACATATAAATGTATATATAAATAAATATGTAAACTTTCATAAATAAATTATTATCACAATTTTTGCAGCGTTATTTTAAATTCGTTAGCCTTGTCTAAGATGAGAATTGATTTTATTCCATTAAAATTCCGCATTTTAATATATTTACGACATTTTACGTTGTCTTATATTTTTATATAAATAAATATATAAATTAAAATTAAAAATAAATATCCTCAAAATAAAATGTTTGAAAAAGAAATATTGTTTTGTATGTGTATGAGTATCGACTTTCCACACAATAAATCTCGATGAAATAAATTTTGCAAAATACACGGTTTAACAAATCATTTATATACAAATTTATAACTATCAAAATTAATTTTTTGTAATTTTTATCCTTTATTACCTCAATTCAATTTTAATTAAATATAAATCAACATTCACAAATAAATAAACATTCAAGCATCGAGTATCTATCTATCATAAAAGAAGGAATTTTGCGCAATTGATTTACTTAAAATAGGTAATAGAAAATGGAAAATACAAATTATATCTCAATAAATAAGAATTGTGTAACAAATTTCGCATTGTACATCAATTAAATCGCGTATTTCAAAAGATTTATTTCATCGAAATTCATTGCACGGATAGCCGTGTTCACGCAAAGCGACGTGTTTCGTGACATTTTTATTGCGTGGGCATTTATTAATTTAATTTTTATTCATATATTTATTCATTTGTGTTATAATGCAAAATAGAAAAACGCTCAAAGAGCTTTAAAACGCGGAATTTTAATCAAGTAAAATTAATTTTTATATTGGATTATGCTGACAAATCTACAGATAAAAATTTTAAAAATACGATACGATAAAAAATACGATAGAAGGCGAAAAATAAAATAGTAAATTATTTATCAAAATTAAAATTCTGAACGCCAAAGAATATCTTATAATGTGGAAAATATGGTATATCATATTAGGAATTTCGACGCTGATTCACGGCATGGGGGGGGGTTGGTTTACGTTCGCTCTGTGACCTACGTATTTTATATCCTCTCTTCCTCACTCTCACACTTTCTCTCTTGCACACACTGATCGGCATGTATACATTCCTTTCCCCACTTCTTCCAAATAGTACTTTTCCCAATTTGACCTTATTCTTGAGCTTGAGCTGGATTTTACTATTCGCACGGCGGCACTTGAACGAGACAGACCGTTTCGCGTATCGGCGCGTTATCCCCCCTACTTCCAATTCTTATTACTCCTTACAATTTCCACCTTCTCCCCTTCCAATCGTTACCTGTTGCGTACGCTTTATCTTTCACACACACACACACACATTAAAATATATTTTTTTTTAATACATAAAAAATATTTCGTATTGTGTTAATTGCAGAGAAAACCAGACTTACACATAGCGTTTGGGGATTGTTTTGGTCGCGGCGTACGCGCTGTTTACGCATTCCATACTTTCGCTATCTCTTTCTTTTCTATCATACATTATCCTGCTTCAAATTCCCTACGTATTACTTCTGCGCGTGTTATCTTCTAGGCCTGCGCAAAGTCCTTGAGGTATCCTGTGGTATTTTGCCCCTTACCAGTCGCACGGCGGCACTCGTACGGGTTGGTTGGTCCACATCATCCCTCCCTCTACCACTCTTACTACTTTCCACAGTTTTCCACCCTCTTCCCCCTTTTCCATCATTACCTGTTGCGTACATATTGTTCGGCACGGAGTGTCGAACGCGTATTCCGTGCGACAAGCGATATCCGAGTTATACCTTTGTCATTATACGACAAAATCGCGTCGGGAGTGTGTAAAATACCGTGTGATCGTCGTAATAAATGCGCGTCGGGAGTGTCGTTAATGCCGAGAGTTATAGCGAATCTATAGATGAACGCATTTTTGCTGTATGACAAATATTGGGACACGATTTTTTTGACTTTAGGCTTGGCTCGGGGGAGGGAAAGGTCGGTTTCAATCATAAAATCTCGACTACGGCAGGGCAATCTTCGGTTCTACGTGCAGCGCGCTAGTTGTACAGATAGCCGGACTGTCGAAGGTAGTCGAGGACGGCTACCGGAGTTAGTCAAACGCTACCGATTGCTTTTCAGATGTCTTGTATCTAGTCGGTTGATTGGATGACTAATCACCTCATCTTCTTCGAGCATATATCTTTGCCTTCTGTTTTGAGAGAATCGTGCCCCAATTGGTAAATGTGGTCGTCTGAAACGCGGACGGAATTCGCGCGTAACGTCACAGCTTGGACAATTCGATTCGATTCGCCTGTGATGTCGGGAGTGCCGTTTTAAGTATCGCGCGATTTTCGTATTCAGATACGCATGCGAGCAATGCATGCGCCGCGAACGCGTGTGATTCAATGTGAGTGCTTCGAAGGACCACTGAGAGGAGGAGGAGGCTCAGGAGGAGCATCGGGCGCCGGCGGAGCTAACTTTACGGTAAGCAATAATACTATTTATTTGTTAAAAATATTGTACATTAAAATATTTGAAAGACAAAATATTTACATTAGTTAATATTTATCATTATTAGAATTTATTCGCATATTTTTTTACTTTTTATTTAAATAATTAAACTTTTTTAATAATTCTTTTATTACATATTTGCTTAGAAAACGAATTAAAAGTTTGATGTACTCAATATTTTTTATGATTTCACAAATATTTCATATTGTGAACGCTGCTATAATTTTGATTTATTTCGTGTTTTACAGATCAACTATGCAGATCAACAGAACGACAACTCCGCTGCTGCGCATCGATCGGTGAGTTAGTTTAATTTGTCTTTTATTATTAAGATAATGGATCAAATAATGGTGTAAAAATGTATAAACGCGAGACACTTTGCAGGTCGTATAATTTTATTGCCTTATAGTAGTTATATCAAAATTTTAT